GGAGGGGGGCAGCGGGAGGCGGGCGCCGCGAGCCGCCCCGGCGGCCTCTCACCTGTGTCGTCCCCGCGCGTCTGGGCGGCCGCGCTGCTGTTGTGGTAGGACTGGAGGTAAGGGCTGTGCTGCGAGTGGCTCATGTAGGGGTAGGCGGCGAGCGAGCGGTGGTTGTAGGAGTTGCCCGCGCCCGCCGCGTAGGGCGAGCCGTGGTGCTGGTGGTGGTGGTGGTGGTGGTGCGAGCCGGCGGCCGCCGAGTGCAGGCAGTGCAGCGGGTAGTGCGCGCCCGCCATGGCCGGGGAGCTCTGCTGCGCGGGCGGCGGCGCGGGCTGCTGCGAGTGCGGCGGCGGCGGCGGCGCGGGCTGCTGCTGCGGCGGCTGCTGCTGCTGCCCGAACTCCATGAAAGCGGATTTGGACGAGTCCTGGCCTTCCAAGCCGTCAGCCATCGTAGTCATGGTCATCATCAAAACTTTGGGGGCTGGAGAGAGCCTTCTCCCGGGTTGCCTCCACCCTCCCCCACTTGGCTCGCGCGGCTCTCCCCTCTGCAGCCACCTTAGCTCTTGGGATCCTTGCAAAAAAAAAAAAAATTAAAAAAGAGGGGGGTGGAGGTGGTTCTCCCTCTCCCTCGCTCTTCTCTAATATATATATATATAGGTATATTTAATATAAAGAGAGATATAGTGAGCGGGGCCTTGTTAACCCAAAGGGAGGAGGAAGGGGGAGGGAGAGGGGGAGGGGGAATCTACTCTCCCCCCCCTTGCTTTCCCCCCTTGGATTTTTTGGGGGCTGGTGCAGTTTAAGGCAGAGATTTTAAGGTGGATTCTGCGAAAGTTGCGCGTCTGCTTTCAGACTTGATGCAGACGCCACGAGTCGAATGGTTTGTCTCCAAAGGGCAGCGCCTCCCCATTGGTCAGCCGCCCCCTGACGTCACAGGCGCACGGCTTCTACTGGCGTGCGCGCGGCTCGCCGAGCTCTTCCTCTACCTTCCGCAACTCCAATCCCAGCCGCGGGCTGCCAGTCGCGGGCCGAGCGGCGCGGCGCCCGGGCAGCCTCGGAGGGAGGCGCCTCCGCCCCGGCCCGCCGCCGACGCTCTCCTTCGAAGCCCTCGCCCCAAATGCCGGGCCCCCAGTTTGCAGTATCACAGCCTTGGCACCGCCTGGCTGGAGGCTGCTCTGCCTCACACCCCTGCACCGGTGCGGGCTGCCTGTGCTCGGAAGCAGGGCCCCTTGCCTTTAAAGCCAGGCTCCCTCCCTCGAGCTGCCCCCACCACAACTCCACTACCCTCCCGCGGGAGCGCCCTGTCACCGTGGATTTTTCTAGACGTACTTTACCGAAACCACAGAGGAAAGACGAGGCCCTACACCTGGGCTCCACCCCACGAGGGGGGTGGTAAAGAAAAAGAAAAATCAGACCCTGTTCTGGCTAGGTCCCTGCCCTTTGCGGGCCGTAATTCCTCTATATTGGACGGGGTGGGAAGGGGATATTTTTCCCCCTACAACGCAGCAGCCTGTTTTGAAAGCGAATGGTTGGAGGACTGACAGTAATGCATTTTTTCCTATTGAAAACAGAAGCTACTGTAATGCTTTCAAATATATGCAAATGATACATGCGGTTAGTGGTTTGGCAAATCTTGATTACAATATAAACTACCAAGTAAAAGTGCCTTCGTCCTAAATTTGTCTCTCGATTACAATTCCAATTGATTTTATTTTATTGTCAACATTGTTAATGATAAAAATAGAGTCGTTTTACAGTTATTTTTACTTTCTGGAAGGAGGCAATTAGAGTTCTAATCAGGAATACACAAAAATCTCCCATGATTAACTGCAGTACTTTGTTCAAATTGCTGCTATAAAATTCAGAACAATTTGCCTGTAATGATTATGGACTGGGTTTATTTTGGGAGGTGGAATAAAAGTGGATATAGCATAAATTATCCTCTAATTATACACCAGTGTCGCCTCAATTATCCTCTTATCAAAATGGTTGTCTAACTGCCGCATTTAGTTTCAATTCTCTCCTTTTTTTCTATAAAAAGAACTTCATACCTTGTTATTATTAATCCATTTATTATTTGCAAGGGGATTTATATCCGCACATCCAGGTGGTAGAACCACTTCTCTTTCAAAGATGGACTGGGGAACGACATTAAGTTTGGAGCAGCCCAGGGCTGCGGATCTAGCCTCTTTCCCTCCGTTCTGCAGACCCACTCAGGTCCAGGCAGCCGAGCAGAGACCGCGGAGCCCCGGTGCGCGGCTCGGGCCCAGCCACCAGGTAGGAAAGCGGGAGCTGGCGCCGAGGGAGGCCAGCCGAGCCGCCCAGGGTTCGAGTCCCGGGACTGCGGGTAGCGCCCGGGAGCCGGCGCGGCTCGAGCGTCCAGACTGGGTGGTTGAGACCTGCGGACCTCCGCGGGCTGGGCGCCGGCTTTCGGGTGCGCAGAAGAGACCGAAGCCGCCAGCCTTTATCCAGACGGAGAAAGGTGCAGGGGAACAAGCCCGTGCCGTCGTGTCTGAAGGTTTCGGGGATGAACCTGTCTCCTTTTAAGGAAAACTACTGGGAACGTCTTTGCGCCCTACTTCGCCTGTACCCCCCAAGTTACGGGACCCGAGGAGCCTGAGAAGTGCTAGGTAGCGTGCGTCTTGCCCCTGCTAACCGCAGCGAGGGGCGGCTGCAGACGGAACTGCTCGGACTCTACGCACACGTTGCTCAGAGGTCGCCGGCAGCGGCTTATGCTAATTGATTTTCCCAGCTCCCAGCCCGGGGTCTCCAGGCATAGCCGGGCGAGTTGGCCTTTTCTTTTCCTTCTTACTCTGCAGTCTTCATCAAAATGATTATCCGAAGACCTGAAGCACGGAGCCCACGGGTCCTCTACAGAGTTCCCAGGGCAGCGACGTTTGCTCTCCCCTCCCTTCCCCAGCTGCCGCCTTTAACTTCTCGGGTCTCGGGAGCCGGTTCAGTAACTCTGAATTCATGTTTAAGTGATGTCCCTTGTTCCCTTCCTTTTAACGAGAGGTGCACTTTAACACGCGAACCAGTAACCCGAGCCATGCATTTACAAATCGGCAGTGAATTAAGACAACAACAACAAAAATCTTCAAGGAAAATGAAAGGTGGTCGGGGGAAGCTGGGTGTGGGCGGGGAGGACAGAAGGAAGGCCAGGAAGGAGAAGGTGCCCCTCCCCACCCCGGTGCGCCCTTGGTGTGCCCGGGCTGCGCGCCGAGCCTGTTTGTAATGTCCTTAAAGCCAGCAGGTAGACGTGGCAGTTTTATTGCTTTATATCCTGCAGCTTGTTAAAACAGTGAAGGCGTTTCTGCCCCTGTGCTTGTCTCTGTCTCTCTCTCTCTCTCTTTATGCTCGCAGGTGCACAGCTTTTCTCGCGGGCCTCCCGCTTCTGAAAGCACGCGGAGCGGGGTGGACCAAGGCGAGGCTTGGGAAGGTCCTCGCACTTGCGAGCACTGGTCTTGGGGTGCGGCAACATCTATTTATAAAGGGGGTTTCCCCACCTTGGTTTGTTTAATGCCCGAGGCAGTCGGGCAGGCTGGAATTGTCGGTCCGAGTTGTAGTTTCTGGGCTTTTATCTCTCCCCTAATAAGTGGTGGATAAATCCCTTAACCCTGTTCGGAGGGCGCAGGTGTGCTGGTGCAATGAGGTGGTAGCTGTGTGTGGCAAAGGCCCTGCTGAGACCTGCTGGGCGACCCAGGAGGGGCTCTGAGAATCGGGGGGGAAAGTGCAGCGTTTGATAGCGGTCTCTGCCCTTGCGGGCTAGAATCCAAATTGCAGTCCTGACCGTCCGATTTTCCCGCCAGACCCCGGACTAGAGAGCCAGAGGATCCGTGTGGCCTTACACGGCGCGCCAAAGTGGCGCACTGCGAGGGACTGCCACGTGTGGCCTGTGACACCAACCAGGCAGCAGAGACATCAGCGCGCTGGGAGACTGCAGCGGAAGCGGTTCCCACCTGTCCTTTATCTCCAGTTAAAATCTTCGGTTCATCTTCCCGTGAGGTGGTGGGAGTCACCCCTAGTTTGCCCTAGAGGAGGCCGCACCTTCAGCCCTCCTGGGAGAGGCAAAATACCGGGTTTTTCGGAGCTTTGCAAAAAAGGCGCACACCTCAGGGGCTCCCGGCCCCGGCGCCGGATTCGCCGCCAGCGGAGTCCTGGCTCCTACCTCTTTGTTTCGCCCGCGGGGGAACCCCGCCAACCCCGGGGGTGGGAGGACGAGGGCCTGCTCGGCTGCGAGCGAAGCCTTTATCATTCAAATAGAAGTAAAGCTGGCAACAGGAGGGGTCCGCGCCTGTGGGCTGTTTTAGGGCCTGCTATAGATAAGGGTCATCCTCTCCAAAGTTTTAGCAGGCACGTTTTGAAGCATTGGCTGAATCTTGCCTTTTAAGGTGTTGAGGTGTTGGGGCTCACATTGCTGTCGTGTTATTTAAAAACATTTGCATATTGCCCACACGAGACCGCATGGCTCAGCCTGCCAGGGGCCGCCTTTGGGAGAAGGGGCACATTGGGTGTGAGAATTCCTGCTGTTTTAGTCCTGGAAGGGTGTTTGTGCGCAAACGTAGGGTGAGAATGCCTGGATGGCTGGGGTGGGTTTGCAGCCTTGGAGGGGGGCTTTGGAAATATACTGAAGCTGGCCAGGCCCTGGCTGGGTTTGGTTGCTAAGTTGGGCTCAGTTATCACGTTAATTCTAAAGAAATTAGACCTGGGTAAATAGCCTTTGAATTCAAAGAAATAACTCAGTATTGATTTACATAGCCATGCTAAAAAGCCCCTTCTCAACGGAGACACTGGTAGAAAAAAATTTCCTGCTAGCCTTTCTTCATTCAATGTAAAATTTGGTGGTGTGGGTGTAGGGTGCCTAATATCTTGGAAACTCAGACACCAGGCTTCCCGCCCCCAGCACACACAAGGGAGCTACCTCATTCCCTTTCTTAGCCCGGGCTCATGATGGTATCTTCAGGATAGCCAAAAGAATCACCTAGGCAAGAAAGCTTTATCAGATTTTGATGATATTTGGTATTTTCTCTAGTGACAAAACTGTGATGTCTACATTAACACTCAACTCTGCGGGTTTCCCCAAATCCAGCTAACGTGTGGGCTTTCTTTACACCACACCTAGAAAAGAGCCTCACGGAAGTTTGCGGATGTTTCCCTCATCTCTGCAGTCCTGTGTCCTGAGAATGGGCAGCTAGGAAACTCTGACATGGCCCCAGCTCTCCAGAGGGCCTCAGAGTGTCCTGTTTAGAGACAATCAAGTAAGCACACCCCAATCTACAGGCTCCTGCTCCATGCATTTAAAACCTGGAATCTAGGAGAGTTCATGAAAATGAAGTCAAGTAGGTCCTCACACTCAACATTCTTATCCTCTTCTGTGGTTCCAGGTGTGTGCGCACGCAGAGCTTTCTTAGGAGACAGAGATGGAAGACAATAGAGATAGTTGAGAACCATACAGGTTTCTTCCTCCCTGAATTTTGGAATTGTATAATAGACGCCTGTGCTTTTCCTTCCTTCCTTCCTCCTTTTCTCTCTGTCTTCCATTCTGGTCCTCATTTCCTCTTGCAACTCTCTCAGCAACCATAAGCTCCTACTCCCTAGTATATAAAGATTCTCCTTTCAGCCCAGGAAAAAAAGAATTTCACAGTATTTAAATACGTAGTTTAAAACAGGATACGTGGAAATGTTGTCTTTGCAGTAGGTAGGCTAAACCAAGAGTGAGCGTCACCTGCCCCCCACCCAGGATTTTGCCCGGCTGGGAAATATAGCTGGACAAAGGGGGACAGGGAGAGGTCTGGGAAGTCAGCTTTCATCAAGACATTCTTTAGAAAGCAGGACCAATACAGGATACATGCAGCCCCAGAGTGGCAGGGAACAAACATCAACAGGAAATGGCACACTATTTTTAGGCATAAGAAGGAGTTCATATAGCTATCCAGCCATCTTCCT